TCAGTGCGTGTTACATTGTGATTGGTGAATTCACAATAAAGGTTGATTAAAACAAAGTTAATTGTTGTGTTACGACTCAACTATATTTTATTTCCACCAACCAACCCTAAAAATTACGTGACAAACGCATCGACATCCGGCAATCTGCGTGTTGCGAGCCACGGGACAGAAACCGTTGGAATGTTTACTGTCGCGTGCCGCCACGAATATTTCTTTTAAGGAGAGCTATAGAATTACTCCATACCTTTGTTAGACAAAGCGTTCATCCCGTGACCGCGGCTACGTTCGGCGACTGACTGTCGCCTCGAGCCCAAGCTCATTATCACAACTCTCGAACAATTACAATCGGATTGAATAACTACAATTGTTCAATTACAAACTCCGGTGTTCTTTCATCTCCGACATATATTTTCGACTTGTTTTTTCGCGTAGAATCACCCCCTTTCCGCTTGTACCACCAGTTACCAACCACCCTGTATATGTATCGCGATTTTTACAGTACGCCTTGTAGAACCTAACTCTTACATTATCCGGACATCACCTGTATTTATAAATAATTTACATAATTTCGTCTTTCTCGTGTCCTCCTTTTCATAATATTCTGTCGTGCTTTCATACCGGTTTGGATTAAATATTCCACGCACAAAGCATCAACGAACCGGTGATGTTGTAAATACTCGATTACCGGAACTAATTGTTAAGTATTGTGTTCGTTTCGTTTTACCACCCTTTAAAAACTGGTTCGAAGCCAATCGTGCGTACTAATTAGCTCGATAAACACTCTCGGATTTGTAATCGTTATTGATAGCCTGTATTCACAAATGATAATTAACGTGGATTCTTGTACAAACGATGTTCCAAGTCCTCGCGAACCTCGATCGAACACATAAAAGTGCACGAGAAAAATCCTTAATTGTCGACGATAATCAGAAACTATTGAACTTCAAAGGTTCGGTGGAAATTAAAAAGCTGTTCTTTTAACGGGACAGAAACGTGGGTGAAGGTAAAGCTTGCTAATGCTTTTTTCAATTAACATTGAACTTTGTCTTTTTTATTTAAAGCATTTAGTGTGGTGCAAATATTCTTAATTGTAATTTTTAATAGCACGATTAGATAGTGTCGTTGCCATATTTATAACTTTGCACAAACATTTTAAATAATTTTTATCCTCCATAATAAATTCTGATTCGTTATTTGATAGAAACAAAAATGTTGAATGCAGACAGTTAAAGATATGACAATACTCGTCGCAGAAATTGATTTATGTATGCAGAATGCACATTAAGAAGAATTATCGTGTGATATAGAATATGAATATCTTAAGGTGAAATTTAATACATCATATATTATTTTATACCTACGTCTTAAATTTATTATATTTCAAGAATTGTTATATGCAAAAATAAGTCTTACAGGAAATAGAGTTCAATACAAGAAAATCAAACTTTCATTTTCCCTTTAATTAATTAATTAAAAAAAGTACGCGGAAGGTTATATTGTTGTCATTTAGTTTGACGT